TCATCAAACCTTCTGTCAGAGTTGCCACAGACACTAGGTAGTCTGCACAAATTGAAGGTTCGTACTTCATTCCCTCTCACGATCATTTGCTTGCTTTGTATGTTCCATGCTTATCTCAATAGTGGAAGTTGTGGAACAACATGCAGAGTTCGTAAAAGCGAAGCACGTTTCTTCTATAGAATATTCAATAGGAGCAATAATTAGTTACGAAGTTGCTCTGGGGAATAAATCTCTGTCTTTTCCTTCCATATTGTATTTTTTTATTAAAAAAAAGCTAGATCCATGTAATATCTTGTTTTAATTATTCGTTTCAACCTAAGACTTCTAGGATCTGTTTTCTAGTTAATTTTAGAGTGGTTCTCTGTTATGAGAAACAGGGAAATTATCCACCTGAAAAAATTGTGACAATCACCGTTACCTACAGGGCCAAACTATAGAAATCCTCTTCCAGAAAATAGCCCTCAGATGGTCAGATTGATGATAGCCCTTCAAGGACTTGCGGAAGTAACAGAATTACCATAACCTGAAAGCCACCCACCTTAGGCAATACTGAACTTACCAGGCACAATTTTTTGTCAAAAAGCATCCTCCTCCCGAAAGGAAATCTCTACAACCATTTAACCATTGGTGAAACATGAATTCTCTTAACTGCAACGTCAAGTGCACCCTTATCCAAAAAAAGTGATCCTGGTTTCCAGTTAACAAATCCGGTAAATAGTAAATGGTATTGATTTTCAGACTCGAACAAATCAGAGCAACTGGCCCTTCTTGGTACCCATGTTCCCGACTAGCAAGATTATGAGAATTCCTCCCCTGAGCTGGATTCCGAATTGTTTAGATTTCAGATTTCTCAAAAGAAGACATGGGCTTGAAGAGGTCACTCCTACAGTATACCTTGTATGTAAACCAAAGGAATCTATTGTCCGTCACTCTCCTAACCTCCATTTCAGGGGTTCTCTATCCTACCAAAATCAGTCACAAGAGAAGTGTCATCTGCGAAGTCTGGTTAGCATGAATACCACATCAAGATCTATACCTATTGATGATAAATGTAAATCACCACCAGGAAAGATAGGAATGGAGAGAGAATGTAACCTTGATGAATATCTCGTCCCTAAAATCTTACCAATTGGTATCTCATTGTGCAGAATGGAGAAATTAGTAAAGGAACACAACCGTTAATCTAAGCGCTCCCTATATCTCCAAAACCCTTAGCCCCTAGGACTGAAAGAAGAAAATCCTAGTCGAGCCCAAGCCTTGACAAGATCCAGCTTGAAAAGTAGACCTTTCTTCTTCCTTTCCTCCAATCTTCATGAGTTCCAATACCTGCCAATTGCCTCGGCCCAACAAAAACAACCTGCTGGCTTGGTGAAACCATATGCGTGGATAAGGCTTCAATTTATTGCCAATAACCTCAGCAACCATTTCACAGGATAACCTCGTGACTCCAAAGTCTACATTTGCATATTGCCGGTTTGACAACTAGGTCAATCCAGCTTGGTTTTTCATTAGGACTTGCATTAGTAATATCTCAATCAAAAAAAGCTTGCAATCTCAAACCATCTGGAGATCGCTCTTAATAACCTTGACATCTCCAATGAGCTACATACGTTAGGAAAATATTCACGGTTGAATCATCTTTGCCCAACAACTTAAGCCGTTAGTTCAGGTAATTTTAATTGTTAACGTGTTGTAGCTACTTCCCTCAAGTGTAGGCTCATGTAAAAATTTGACTCACAAGACTCATCAAGTCCACTATTAAAAACGAGAGATAATAACACTACAAAAGTCCGAACTGAAGACAAATGTCTCTGATGTCATGTTTAATGAATGACTGAACTAATCTAATCATTTACTATATCTCAATACATATTAATAAACAAAAAATATATATATATATATATAATAACAGAGAAAAAAAACTAGAGAGTATAATATTTTGTTCTTTTCAGGTGTTTGTTTTACCTGTTATTACAATTTGTTATCTATAACAATCATATTGCATATCTTTAACAGTTATTGGAAATTGGTTAAAGAACTAGTCTAAGATACTTTCTGTGACATGTTCGAGAAACACACCCAACACGTACATCGTCATATTATGTTTTTTTTTTCATCGCTTATATAACACTTAACAACCTTGCTTCTAATTTCACACATTCATATTTCCCAAGTTCATTGAGATGGATGTTTGTACGAACTTCAATCGGAGATTCCTCTCAATTATTCTGTGATGCGCTGCAGGCTTTGCATCTCAGCCATAATGGGCTAAGTTCCCTCCCTTCTACACTATTTAAGGTGTGCATCCACCTCTCTACACTTGATCTCCACAACACAGAAATCACCACAGATCTCCTCCGACAGGTTTGTGCTCATGCTGCAACTGTTTGGATCAATTTACGCTTTCTTGATTCGTATGACAATCTTTTGTTGACAGTATGAAGGATGGGAAGATTTTGATGAACGTCGCCGCTTAAAGCATCAGAAGCAACTTGATTTTCGGGTTATGGGCCAAGCTGAATTTGATGAAGGTGCTGATAAACAATGATGCATCATTGGTTTTGAAGAAAACATGCAGCAATTGAACCAGGCTTGGAAAAATTTAGTTGCTGGGGTAGATTTAAAAAATTGCCTCGTAACCAATCATCAAAATATTTTTGATGAATTGACCTCTATACCCTTTCCCTTTTTCTCTGAGTTAGGTAATGATGTGAAGATTGTCCAAGGGTCATCGTCTCGTCTTCAAACTAGTAATATACCATGTTCTTTTAATCACTTGTTAGGTTTTAGTGGAAATTTCAATGGAGATTGCCTATTAGTAGAACCCAAAATCTAACGCAAGTTTCTCGCCTTCTGAAGCTCAAACTCGAAGGTTGAACAACATAATTGAAATTTTGGGATAATTGCAGTTATTCAATTGTCAGTCATATGCCTTATTCATTTCCATTCGCCTTGTAATGTTTTTTAAACACTTTCATAGTTCCCCTTTCCTAATCATTAAAGTTCCTTTCGTTCTTCCCTTCAAAATATACCATCGAGACAATTTTCATCACAACTAGGGATGTCCCACGGAGACCCATCTAAATGGGGCAGAATGGACCACACTACGCCATCTTTTTAATATTTGCCCACACACACACTAAAATAATTTTTTTGTTTTATTATCCTCCCCGACTATGTAAACGAGGTTTAAAAAATAGAGAAAATTCCCACAGGAACTCGGTACCTATGAATTTCCCATAGGGAATCCCCATCCCTGACCTCTGCAAAATTTCGTAGGAGTGGAGAATTAAATGGGGCCAGGGATCAGGACGGGAAATCTTCATCCCCACCCCGCCACATGAACATCCCTAATAGAACCACTCCTTACTAATAATATAACCAACGCTTCTAGGTATAATCTACAAGTGTAAAATATCAATAGTTATACACACAAATTTGTAAGCCAATCCCACAAAACAAGAACTTCATTTCCACGAACAGATTAAACTCCAAGATGCCATCATTTTAAACATCCAGTTCTCAATAAATTGATTTTTTTTAAAGCCAATAATAAACGAGGGGTCAAAAGTGGAGCGACAAGTGGCAATGTTGATATTATGCAACGAACCAAAAGGAGGTCAATGTGTGAAAAAGAGGATAAACAACCGAACTTACCTTCGTCGCCAGTAAAGGTTCAACATTCCAAAGCCAATGGTTGGTCTCAACCATACGAGGAGGTATGCATTTAATTGCACAAATCAAAGTTTCTTCCAAATTTATATATGAATATGTGAACTGTGTCCGGCCATTTAATATCTTGAATACTCTCCGAGCTCTAGAGTACTAAACTTTAGAAGACTGTAAAACAAAGTCCGAGTCTGACCAGGGTCGGAAGAATGATCCAGGAACAGCAGGTACCTAACGGAAGTAAACAGACACCAGAGGGATGTCGATATCATTATCCTCATCGTCCTCGCAAGCCACAACAACATCCAAGTGTCGACGATATGCAGGCAGCTCCACCTTAGCAACATCTCGGGCTAAATCAACAACCTTCTTGTCCATTCGGTCTTTGTGCCGGGGAAACATGCTATTATACAGGAGACAGCTGCCACACGAGATGCTATAGGCGTTCAATCCTTTGTTCTTCAACCATTCAATGAGTTCTCTGAGAGTGGGGTTGTCTTTGATGATCCATCTGTCCCAAACAGTCCAGCTCATCTCCCGGTGCTTAATGACCTTGGGCGGGACTGGCTCGGCCATGGAGAACAGAGGCAGCGCCAGGTTCGCAAATGTGTTACGGTAGTCCTCCACCTTGTGGCCGCCATCCAGAACTTTGTAGAGTTCGAGGCAGACAAGACCTGTGGCCATTGCAGTAGAGGTTGCAATAGCCGGGATGATCCTTCCGGCAATGAACTTGGCTTTCAACTTATCTACTTCAGGAATACTGTAATTCCTCGCTCTCATGTTAGCAAGCCCAGCAATGAGGTCCATATGGTAATTTGAATCATCATCCTGCACATCCAGAAACCATTTTACTCATAACTATCTCGCTACTTGAAAACGAAAACTTTTGTCATAAAAGAACCATTAAAGAAAAGACCTTCTCAAACTGGATCGGTTTCATCCTGAATCCCTCTGATAGCTTCCTGCGGGTATCCTCCAATCTGTTTATCAGTTCATGAATAACAGCTGCATCGTCAACAGATGCGGTAGAGAGACTGGTAGCCTTCTCATCAGTCACTATCTTGGCATCCTTTTTGGGCATAAAATCTGGTACCATAACTCTTTCAATTGCTTCGGCCAATTTCCCGGGGTTCTTAACCCAGTCAGGAATTGAAATGGCATATGACTCTGCTCTTAGTATCGCCGCCGCCAGAACAAAATTTAGGTGACTTGGATCCGTAGTTGAAAACTCCAGTGGATGGGGAAATCTCTTTGGAGCAGACCAGAATGGAGCCCCATTACTAGTTGCAGCATCTTCAGGAAATGTGTATATCAACTGCTTTACACGGTTCGCAAAATAATCTTCAAATCTGTCAAAATTGAATCATCACAAAAGGAGTCAATAAATTGAACAACTGAAGCATGAAAAAGTTAAACGTAGTCAGATGTCGAGATGACAAAGTTGAGATTATCAAGAAAAGTACTTCAAACGAGCCCACGTAATGCAGTCTTCAAAAGTTTCGCATCTTTCTCTATCAAGACACTCAAGAACACGCTCCAAAGTATCCCTAGACTGAGCATCACCAGCATTCATCATCGAAGAAGTATATTCACTAGGATTAGACAGATAAGCATTCACATCAGTAGGAGTCTTCTCAAGTAAACCTTCAAACTCGGATCGAGCCCATGTCAAACAGTGGTCAATGTTGTGCGGAAATGAATGCACGGTGCACATGGGAGCTTGTTTTTCAGGTGGGTCTCTTGATGCCCCATAGTTTTCAGTCAGGTGAGGAATGACCATTTGAGTGTTGCATTTAGCACCAAGGGTACCAGATTCCAAGAGTGGTTTCTGGAAGTACAAGCATCTTTGATCAACATAAAGCCTTGCGTTTACGTTGTCTAGTGCATTAACTACAACATTCAAATTCTCCCAAAAGCTATCATCAAAGACATTCTCAGTTTCAGGACCAACTCGGTTCTGCAAAGCTTCAATGTTGAGATGCCGATTAATTGCAACAGCAGCAGAAGCAGCAACTGTGGATTTGGCCTGCCCAATGTTCCAATCACGGAAAAGGAACTGCCTACTCAGGTTGCTTTTCTCAATTACATCATCATCAGTAATTGTTAGCTTCCCTTCGTTGCTACATGAAACTCCCATCAGTGCAAGATTCTTCAAAAACTCACAGCCTAGAGCACCAGATCCAACCATAAAGACTTTGGCATTTTCCAGTTTCTTCTGTAGCTTAGACCCAAACACTGAAATCTGTGCATCATAACGGCTATTCAGGGGCCTAAAATCACTGGCGTCCAATGACTCTCTGGGAAGAGACTCCACTGAGTCAAAGTAGAAGAACTGCATTTCAGAAAGAAAATAACATGAGGATACAAGAAATAGTAATAAAATGACTTTCACAGCATGCAGAAAAAAGTTGTAGCAAGATCAATCAAATGCAATAACTTAACTGGTCCCATTAGATTATGGTCTAGTTCATGTATGCAGAAAGAGTTGCATGTGTCACTCAGAAGAGAGAGCGGGGGATTTAAATACATTAAAAGAAACTTGCAGAAATAAAAGCCCCAAAGTATTTCAACATTAAAGCCAATAGGCATATTTAATTCAACCTCACCCATATGAAGATAGAAGGATTTTTTATTCTACTAACCTGGACAAGTGGATGAAACTTTCCAGAGCATGCTTTGAGAACCTCTTGAGCTACTATACCACCAAACATGGCTGCCATGGGATTGAGTACTGCCTTGGCTCCAAATGCAAAGTGCCTCAAAAGCTTGGGATTAATATCTTCAATTCTCCCATCTCCTGAACTATCGTTAATGTTACTAGCAACAGAGATCAGCTTTTGAGCATCCTCCTCAGAACCAGCAACTGGTAGGCGACCCAACTCAGTCACAAATTTATCTAAGGCCGAGAATGCCAAGTGTATGAGAGGAGGACGATCGAACTTGGAGAAATCACTGAGGAGAAAATCACCAGGATCGTTGATTGCTTCTCTTAATGGTTTGAAGTTCAACACTTTGGGCTGCTTCACCTGTGTTACAATGCCACCTTTCTCATAGCTACCAAAGTTTGTAGTATCCTCCTCAAGAGTAAATGAATAGGCCCTGCAATTTTTAATCCTTCTCGGCTTCCCGTCGTTCAGCTCTGTCATACCATGAACTTCAGAGAACACCACAAGATCTCCATCCTGAAACTCAAGCCTCTCATCATCAACGCAGGATACAAGAGCAGGATTGTCATTGCTGATGGATGCAATTATGCCAGTGTGTGGGTCCTCTCCATACACGTCATAAACAGTGAACTCAGGCCCAAAGTCACAAAACACTGAACCAAAGAGCCCTCTCACTTCAGATTTGATAAATGAAATTGGAGGCTGGTGGTTATGACAAAAATCATTGAATTCCATAGCTTTGTCAAGACCAGTATCAGTGAAGACAACAACCTGCATCCACAGACCGTGAAAGGTTACATCATGCAATTGAAACTTATATATACTTGAAATAAGCAAACATAATTGATCTTAAGAGATGCACACGCTTGTAACTGAAAGCAGCTATGCTCTTACCAATGTTTGAAAGGAAACTATGGGTCAAGATTTCCAATCCTAACAGAAAAGAAAAACCCACTAATGCAATTTTTTATTGGATTGGTAAAAATGGAACCTTAATTCATTTAATATGTTCTACCAAAGTCCTCTTTCTTCAAATTGGAACTAACAGAGATAAAATAAAACCGATACCTAGGCACCAGTGACCAGAGGCCGTAACAATAACAGCACTAAGGTAGCAAAATTCCTTGTTGGATAAGTTCCGACTAGTTATTAATTAAATTCTTTGATTAGCTGAAAACTACATTTTAGTTTGCAATTTTGATGCTTATAAATTAGCTCAAATTTACATTTTTAGATCAAGCAGTGAAATTTCAGCCAGTAAAGTTTATACATTGTATCAAACTCATACGTTCTTTGAAACTCAAGGATGGTTTCTTAGTTAAGTCTTAATTACTACAACTCGATGGTAATCTCTATGAATAGAGGCGTTAAGTCTTTGTACGGTTACTTGGATGAACAAAAGTATGTAAGAGAGTAATCTCAATTTCTAGATGCTAGAATGCATCTAGCTTGCGTGAGTGTCCTGAGTGTCCAGACTTTAATTTGTGAGTGAAATTCTAGAATGCATTTAGAATTTTTTTTTAAAATATTTGTGTGTCAGGGAGAGCTTGCGTGCACCTCGACTTTACTTCTAGAATTACTCCTCGAGTACACCTTCACTAGGCTGGAAGTTTTCAAGGCCATTGGAAAGGTTAATTTCCTTATGAATTCTTTAACAAGCCTTGGAATCGTCTCGGGCATGATATTATGTAGATGTTGTAACTTTTTCAAAAAGGAGTTGTCAATGCTAGAAATAAGGTAACTTCTGTAGTTCTCTTACCCAATAAAGAGAAAGACTACGGACCAATGATCTTAACTACAAAATCTTGCCAAAAGTTCCACCACAGAAAGTTAGGACTATCTTCACAGCTACCATTTTAGAATTCCAATCACAGACTTCGTGGATATGCAATATTGGTAGGTTGGAAGAAGAGGAGGAAGGGATGGTCTTCAAACTTGATTTAGGAAAAGGCTTATAACTTAGTCCATTTTGATTTTCTCGACTTGAACCTTGAGAGAAAAAAGGATTTGGTAGAAGATGCAGCATAGGAGTTATAAGCAGGCTTTCTTTGACAATGCCCCTGTACCAAAGGGCACCCACCCGCCCCAAGGCCCGGAGCAGGAGACATCAAGTTCTTTGACAAACTTTTCAGTCCTCTTCATTATAAAACCAAGACCGACACTCATAATTTCTGGAGTCTTCAATTGTCAATAGTCTCTCAAATATCATGGCCTGCTCTACAAGAAACCACAAGAAGAAAAACTTTTACATTCCATTAACAAAATTTGAACAAACTCCTGTTCCCTGTGTAAGCATCTTGAGTAACCTCCCCAATTAATGCCTTCCAATTTTTGGAACTGTCATCTCTATTAAAAAGATTGACAAGGGGTAGTTTACGAGATGGGGCAGGTTGGGATAAAGGGCATAAGTTAGATGGTATAAGGTGGATAAGTTAATTGAAGAAGGTGACCTAGGCTTAAGATACAAAGCAAAGGGTCATAGCTATCGTTTTCAAGAAGTGGTGACTGGTGGTGGTGGAGGTTTCTGATAGCACACAATGCTCTTCAGCAAAAATGATAGATAATATCCATGGGATTGACGGGTAGATTTCTAAAATTAATTAGCCCCCCAGATTACTATAATTAATTAACCCCACCCCCCCAAGGCTGGAAATCCCAGAAAATTATTTATATGTTGAAGGATTTCATGTAAAAGAATACAAATTGTGTGGTAGAAAATGATAAAAGGTTTCAATTTAATAGTTAGGTTAAAAAATATATTCATCTTGTACTTTATTTAGTCCCGAAACTTTCAAAAGTACAAATTTAGTCCCCGTACTTTAAAATTCAATACAATTTAGTCCCTATCATTAAATATTAGGCTAGATAAAACATAAATCTAACGTGGCTGCCAACTAAGATCCATATGTATAAATTAAAAAGGACATCTGTACATAATTATGGGTTGGTTCAAGATCAAGTCAGTTCATTGAGCCGGATTAGGGCCTTTAAAAAAAAAGAAACTTTAAAAATTTAGGAAGACGCTTCCCCGCCCTCCTTACGACATCGTCTCTCCCACCCTTCTTCGTAGAATTTCAAGCTCAAGTTTTAGATACCCTCCTCCAAAAGTCCTCTATTTTTATTTTCCAGGTTTTGATCTCTCTATTTCACCTCCTGTCAGCTGTACAAGGGATAAATAAATCCAAGAAAAAGCAGGTGTCTCTTTCTTTAATTGTTCTTTTGCCCTTAAAATTTTGGTGGAACCTTTAAAAATGAAGAAGTTTGAAATCAACAACCAGCCCGGGAGTAGGAGGTATTCAACAATCATGATTTCAGGTGGCGCTCCAAAGATGTTCTCCCGTGAATCTTTTGCTCAATAGGCTAATACATGGAATGCTCTACAATAGTTAAAGCATACAAAAAAATACACGATACAAGAGTCTAAGACACAAGCACACAATTATAAACAAAAACGAGAAGTAGACAAGTTGAGTGTTGACTTTCAATAGGAAGCCTGTGGTAAATAAGCACCAGAATCACAGATGCCAAGCTCAAATTAGAATACCAGAACTTTTACAGTTCTTTTCAAAATTCCAGACAAGATAATAGAGGGAAAAAAATGAATATTTGGAAATTAAATATTGGAATTGTTCTTTAGACTTCCTATTTTGCATATAATATATGAATGCACTTCATTTTGATTTCTTTATAGTCTCTGCCACAATTCCAATTGATGAAAATTTTTAAACACGTTCTTTACCAGTTTTTAACAATTTATTGAACTATCAAGCGTGGTTCAATATCATATCATTTTGTGCACTCCTTAAAAGAAATGAGTAGAGAATATATGTAAAGTTAGCATACCTGGAATTCTGAAAGTTGTTCTTTCACTAGTTTAGTTGTGAAGGTATGGACAACGACAGAATTGTTGAGATCTTGCAACTTCTGAGCGGAGGCAAGTGCTCTGTTTTTACCAACATCGCTCTCTGAGAACACAAAATTACTAGACAAATCCCATAACTCGACTACACCTTCATCCTGCAAGGTCACTGACTTCACCCCAGCAAGAATAACATTCTTGGCTGCAGGAAGAGGGGAAATAAAATAAAATGTCGTTAAAACAGATAACTTAAAACCAAACACAGAACAAAAGCAAGTAAGAATGTTATTCATAAAAAAAGCTCCCTCACAAATGAGACCCGATGAAATTCACAAGATTAGGCCAAAAGCAAAAACCTAATCGGCTCTGATGGTCTCAATCCAATACATTAGCATGATAAAAAAAAAAGCCCTGGATAAGTCTATATGCATGAATATAACATGGTAAAGAACAATACACCGGCATAATCACAACCTGGCTAAAGAAAAGTGATCATCCAGAATCATGAAACGCTACATTTAATACCATTTCATCAAAACATCTTTCGAGATTTTCCTCGTTCTGCTCCCCCCAAAACAAAACAAAAACCAGAGAATTATTTTGCGTGCTCAGGAGAAAGAAGAGTATAGTCCACAAAACAGATCACATAGTTTACACTAAAAACTCGTTTCAAAGTTAAAAAGATAATGTATGAACATATATCACGAAATCAGGAAGCCATCAAAGTGAAGCGCACTACACCATGGACCGTAAAGTTGTATCGTCACATGCTTATAGTTATCAGGACAAGTACACACTAATCAAAATACGTCCGGCATGGCAAGAAAAATGAAAGCACCGGCACCAGAGAGGAAACATCCATCGATTCTAAACAGCATATGCAGAAAGTAGCACGAGTGGTGTTGTCGTCAGTATTTACCAATCTCGGCGCCAAGACCCTGCATCCCGGAAATGAGGACATTGGACACCGAAAGCTTCCGCATGGTTTCGCGGCCATACACAGCAAGTTGTCGGCTGTGCAGATCCTCATCGATGTCCGGCGGGTTGGAATTCCCCAGAGCCATGATCAAAGATGCACCGTCGCTCTGGATGTTGTTGGCGGTGGTAGCAGTGGCGGCAGCGGCAGCGGCAGCTACCTTGCTGTTGGAGTTGGAGTTGGACTCGACGGCGCAGATGTCGATCCGGTGCTTCTTGATTAGAGACGCACCCGCGGTCTGCACGTTGATGTTGTTGTTGTTGTTGATGACGACGTTGTTGGTGTTGTCAGTTTCTTCTTCTACAACCGCACCTTCTTCACCAGCTCTCTTCCTGGGAAGCATAAAGTGCAGTAGGCTGCTGAAAACCCCAGAATACCCGAGCATCAACAACGAAACGAGCAAGACGATGAAAGCAACCAAGAATTCATCAACCACATAACCACTAAGCCCTCTAAACACTAAAAGAACAGCGATCGGCATAAACCCTAGGCCTAGCCAACGCATGATCCGAAAGAAAGATCAATTAAGAGTAAGAAACGTACCGATTAGGATGCTAACGAAGAAGAAGGAAGGAATCTGAAGGAGAAATGGGCGATTTAGTGCGGCGGTGGTTTGAACTTTAAGGTGAGAATTATGGCGGAATTGAATCAATCCAGAACCGGAGGGGCCGGTGCGGGTTCATATAGGGGATTGGAAGGAGGAGGGGAGGGCATAAATGGTTTTTTGCAGCTTCACAGTTTTTCTTTTTTTTTTTTTCCTTTCTAAATCTCTAGGGTTTGGGTTTGGGGACAGATGCTGTTCATTCCATCTCCCAATCCCTCCACTTTGAGAGAGACGCAGAAAAGAGAAATGGTTGGGTACGGTATGAAAGACGGTACATCGTAGAAGATGGGGCAGGGCAGCCTCTGTGGGCCCGCCTCTTGACCTCTTATGCTGTTGTATTGTATTGACCGGTGAATTCCGGTCAGGTCTGATCAAATTTACCAACGAAGTAAAATTTCCATCTTCACCTAAGATAATTAATGACAACTCTACTTCTTAAATTGGTAACAATGAGAGTGTTTGATGAATATAGCTCAGCTGACATATATTGTTTGATACTGATTTTTTTACTTTCTGAGATTTATGTTGAGTTAATTGGTTAAGTTATGCAATGAGGAACAACTCGATATGAGTATATGAACTTAGAAAATACTTTAACAGAGATGTTATAATACAATGAGACCTACTTGTAAGATGAAACATTTTAATGCTCAAGTAAATCTAAAACTCGAGCTAAAAGATTGGTTCCAGCTAAACTCGTTCACCTGTGAATGAGAATGATAACTTATTTATATGAGTTTTGGAGAAGATCATTCTGTTTATGAGATCCAAAAGTTTGTTGTGCAATTCTATATTATTGGATGCTTGATTCGGATAAAACGAGCTAACGTGTCTTCATCTTCTATAAGATTCTAAATGTGTCTACAAAACTCCACAAATCATTACCATTAGGTCGGTCGTGGACTAATATATTTGGATTATGTTGTGTGTCGTATTTTACCTTTCAACCATCATTAATATAGTTAAACTTACACTATAGTAATAAATATTGATTATTTTTTTGTTTTGCTTGAAATTCATACTTTTAGTGAGTCATGATGCATGAGGCTATGTACTACATAAAATATTTGCTTTATTTGCTTTAGATATCGAGTACGTGCCGATGGACGAAACAAGATGATGTTGAAATTTATAGTTATATTTTATTTTTAATACAATGTTAAAAAAGGAAATAAAATAAAATTAGAATTAAAATTAAAATGAAGGCGTGTTAGAGGGGCCACAGGGGAGAAGATTATAATAAATTATCGATAAATTCCGAAAAGCCTCTTTTGCAAGGGGAAACGGAATCGAATGTTTTTATTTTGTTTTTGTTTTCTTGGAGAACAAGCAGGCCGGATTCTTACGTTTTTTTTTTACAATAAATGGTGTTGTTTAACTTTTATCGATAAGGAGATTGGACCGCAAGTTAAACGATTCCTATCATTTTTTTAATAATTTATGATTATTACTTTTTGGATATTAAAGAAAAAAAATTATTATTACTTTTTAATACAACATATCGAGTGCCGAAGGTAGAATCTAATTCACGACTTCTCTCTTAACCAGTTGAAATTATGTTCATATTTTTATAATAAACTTAACAATATCGTTGGAAGGCTTATTACTTTTTTTAGATTCCATTACTATTTTGTTTTTTAATTTTACGTTAGTTTAATCCTAATTTCTTTAAAATATTTTTTCTTCTCTTTGAAACTATGATTTTAAAAAACAAGAATAAGGGTTTTGAAAATTATTCTTTTTGTAGTTCTTAATTTTTTTTGTTTAGATTTAAAAAACGTTTCTATCAGTTGACAGCATAACAAGAAAAATGCATGAAATAGTGTTTACAAACTTAATTTCAAAAATATAAACTGACTAAAACCGTTGTTTATTTTCTAATTCGATAGTTTACAAAATTAAATTAGTGTTTACAAAATTTATTCGAAAATTTTGGGGACGGAGACGGGAAGCCCCTCCCGCATTCCGCCCCATAAACACCCCTAGTTAACTAGTTAACCAAAGAGGATGTACTTCAGGTTAAATAATCTCTTAAGAATGTATCTTATACAACAATACAGATGTGAACTTCCTTGTCATTCACAAACTAAACAATGGTCTTACAGAAGGACGTAGCAAAGTCATTGTAGACCAAAAAAGGAAAATAATAATAATAATAGTAACAACCGTGAACAGCGATTGAACTGAACATTCCAAATGCATCCAGCAAGAATCGAACCTACGAATTTTGTCCTTTTTTAGGTCGGTATAGGTTGGACGCTTTAACCATTCACCCATAAAAAGAAAGGGAAAGAAAGATCTTTCGATTTCTCATGGTGGTAACTTGGTAAGAGAGTTGATTTTCCTACGGTTCAAACTCGAGAGGAGATCATTAGCGTTTTGTTTTTCTATCTTTTTTCTTATCCATGGTAACATGAGATTAGATTCAAATCTGAAAACACAAACTTCTCACCATCTACATTGAACGCATCATATGATCTTCTACATGAAAATTAGGAACCCTTTACAGTAACTTCACAAGAGTAGACTTTGGATCCATAAAGATTAAAAGGAAATACTCACTTTAATTTATCTATGGTTGTTATTGTTGGAGTCCAGCAGCACTGATAAAATTTCAGAGAACTGGGGGCGCTTTGATGGGCAAGTGTTCCAGCATTTGATCATCAGGGATTTCAGGGTGGATGGGCAGTCCTTTGGAAGATCAGGTCTAAGACCACAAGCAGCTATACCGACTGCCGCCTGCACTGGCGAATATGCGCCATAAGCCGCCTCACCGCTCACCATCTCCCATATTACCATTCCAAAACTGTATGCATTACTCATCCATGTCTCGTTGACACTCTCCGGGTCGCCAGCGATAATCTGTGCCAAACCAGATAGCCAAGCCAACGGTAACAAATTAACACCCTTCGCTCATTCATTATTTACCAATCAAATGGAGATATACAGAAAGAGGCCAACAAGTAAAGGATAGCAGTGAGATGAGATGCTCTACAGGAATTTCAAATCCCCTAGAAGAAACTAGAAAGGAGCAGGTTCCCTCTAAAGGAGCTTTAACATGGCGGGCTCCACAAATGGAACCAATTAAGCAGAAAGTGGCAACAATTCAAAGTTGCGGCCAAATAGATGGGTGCTGCAGTGAAATCTAATCTTAATGGTCTGAAGAATATAAGGGTGCCTAGAAAAATATAAACACAACGCTGATGTCTAAAGCACCTTCAATCATGACTGTATGCTACACACTCGACCATCATGGAGGAAGTGACATAAAGTTTCTTTAATTGAAAAAGGTGTCGTCCTACTCCTAAGCAGTTTAGTACAATGACTCGAAACACTAATAACATCACAAAAAAGCGAGAAGATAACGTGTTATTTAGCTAAAAGCAGCGAGATATATACTAATTTCTTTTCTGTGTAGTATAACTGAAACTTGCTTTAGATTATAGTAAGTGTAGTCGGAATTAAAGCAAACAGACCTCGGGAGCTAGCCACCGATAACCATCGGTTTCGTACTCCATTGCCTCGCCCAAGTTTTTGCATGCAGTGAGTATGCCCATGTCACCCAAACAAGCACTGCCATTCTTATCTAACAAAATTCTTTGTGCGTTAAGATCCCGATAGGCAACACCATGGTCATTCATGAATTTGATTCCTTCTGCAACATCAATACCAATCCTGGTTATTTCTTTTGTCTGAAACCTTTTGTTTTTCAGCATCAATTCATGAACCGATCCGCCTTCCATTAGTTTGGTTACAACACACAAGCCATGATTTTCATCAATACAAACACCATAGAACATCAAAATGTTCTTGTGCCCACATGTCATCAGCTCCAACAAGTCTTTACGGAGCTCAAACTTGTAAGCAATTCCCTTTTCACACCCTTTAATCTTCTCTATGGCTACTCTTTTGCCCTTGTAGACTCCCTTGAACGAGTTGGGTCCAATCTGATCGGTGAACTCCAGATTCTCAGAGCTCAGCAACCATTTACCCAGCTCATGTCCACCACATTGGACCGTTTGCCATTCATCGACAGATACAGCAAAAGATGAAGTAGACAAGGGCATTTCTATCTGCAAATTTTCATTCAAATTCGAGTTGTCAAAACCACTTCTGCAATTTTGTTCAACGGCATCCTCCTCTATTTCTCTCAAATCTTTCCCCCGGGCGTTACCTTCTTGGCATCCACAAAATCCAAATGGGAGTTTCACTGTATTGGTTTTCGGCTTCTTAATAGCCAATTTTAGAGCACTTTCAATTTTGGATTTAAAGAATTTCTCTTGGGCATCTTGATTTACAAAAAGAACAACTCCAAGGGTAAATCTTTTCTTCTCAAAAATCTGTATCTTCTCACAGCGAATGCCTGCGCTCTCCAGCGCTCCAGACATCGCCGACCATGAAATCGAAGAGTTGCAAGCAAATGTGAACTTCATTGTAGGTTTCTGAGTGTCATGATTAGTTACTTCTTGAAATAAGATTGCAGGGTGATCATAAACAGATGCCTGCTCTATCAATTTGATGTGGAGAAAGACATCTTTCATTTCGAACCCCGCCTGAGCATAACTGTTCGTACCAACAAAACAACATAAAGAATGAAACAACCACAATCAGAAAAAGGAACAGGGAGACAGCAATATACTCATCAGTCTAGTTGAAATTTGGTAGCAGGAGATGATTAGCAAATATTCACAAAACAGATATCTGATCTATCTTTCATTACAACACTACTAAGTTACTAGACTAGAGTAGCTCCCGCTCCGATTAGTTCATAATTATTTCAATTCGTTTTCATTTCAACTCTCCAATTTACACAACTTTCAACTTCAGATACCACATTGCGAAGCAGAGTTATGTGAGTCCAAACCTGAGAGGCAAGGAATCATAATGCTTGCGAATGTTGGAGACGAGCTTTTCAGGCAACTGACTACCAGGATAGAGCTGAGTAAGATTCCGCACAACACTACCCCAAACAGCCTTCTTAGAGCCCTCGATCTTGGTAGGCGAGGGATCGCGAGCAGAGTCCAGATTCAACGAGTTTTTGAGCGACGCCACCGCCTCCGACACGTTCCGACTCAATCTCTGCAGCCGTTTCTGCATCGCCGACGACTCCTTGGCTCCGACGGCAAACGAACTCTCCGGCTTGGAGCCTTCCGATCTGTCCTGAGTTCTCATCAGCACCTGCTCCACCAAATCCTCGTCCGTACTAGCCCTACTCGACCAGCACTCCAATGCCGTCGCCATGGCTCCGCCGCACAAAATCCAAACGCGGGAAAACAAAGAATTACATGAGAAGAATCTTCAAAATCCGGCAGCGAAGATCGTAAGCTTGATATGAACTTCTTTTGGAGCGTGAAGAAGAAAAAATGGGTAAAAAGCTAAAAGGGAAGAGGAAATTGCATTAGATTGTACAGTCCGGCTGTGGCTCTGTTCTGTTCTGTTTCTGTATGGGCGGTGACCATTAAATATGTGACGGTAATTATCCAGTGCGGGTGAGGTCCCTGGAGGGGACTGGTGCTCCACCAATCTGATGTGACGGCGGGCCGGGATCATCATGATGGTGACGTGTCTCGTTTGTGAACGTGATGATGTCTGCGGAAGAAACGTGGGGCCCGCTGCGATTGATTGTGTTGCTTTGCTGGGGTCGTAGTTAGTCAATTTTCTCCACGTGGCCTCCTTAGACTGGAACATGCAATATCTGTTATAAAACCCCAAAATTAGGGTCTGTAACAGCATGTGAGGAAGTTTAGTCAATTTCCCATTACAAACAACTCTTTATTATTATTAAATTTTCTTTTATTTTATTAAATTTTTTTTTTAAAGACAAAAGGTTTGATCATTCTTCCAATTAGTCAAACTATTCTTTCATAAATTTACAATTTCATAAATCTAAAATGAAAAATGTAATGCATGATAAAAACTAAATTTGAAACATTACCAAAAATCTAGTAAAAATATTCCACGAGACCATAAAATCGTCCATCTTTAATTTTTTTTTTACAATGTAATTACAAATTTTATGAGGTGATTAATTTGGCCTCGATTATTTTACATATTATTAAGAATATATATTTATATAGTCTAATAAGACTTATTTTCTTAAAGGAATTGTTACGTATGGGGTATTTCTTTTGTTGTCCATTTTGGTTGAGATTTTTTATTTCTTATTGGGTATTTTATTTACATTTTTTATTATATCTACTTATTTTATTTGTACAGTAGAATCATATTTTTTCTTTCCATATATTTAATATTAAGATTGTATAATCAAAATGAACATAATTCAATAATAATAATAGATACATATCTTCGACCAATAAATCAAGAACTCATACACCTTGTATTAAAAAAATAGAAGATTTGCACCATTTTTTTTTCTTTTTTTTTCTGTTTTGTTCCTAACTCACGACTTACCTAATTTAGTAGACTTAAAATTAAAAATTTAAGATTCAGGGAGTAAAAAATGAATTTTTACCGACAAATAAAAAAAGAAAACGAAAATTAATTGGGAAGCGCAGAGAGAGCCATGTGGGGTACGTCATGTCTGAAACGTGGCCCGCAATTCCGCATAATGTTATTCAAATGGCGTACTCAGGGCCGTCGGTTGACAGATGTCACGGGGAGTATTCCGATGCGGTCGGGAGCAGGTTTTCAAGTTCGGGGGCGAGTGGGCCCGGGGCCATAATATTTTAATCACATGTCGTTCCATATTTGGGATCCCAAGGCATCAAACGGCAGAGCTTTCCTGGCCGATATTGGGCCTTTTTTGGGCCGCGTGGGCCCAACCCAGGGCCTTAAAAGAATCCAAATCCCCAGAAGCAAAACGACGATGAAAATAACTGTTCGGTTTTGTCTCTGTGCGTTGGTGCAAAAACAGGAAAACGAAATCCAAAATCCAATCGAAATGGAATTAAAGAAAAAAAAAAATTAGATTAGATTGGGTGTTATGATTGTTTTCATTATGATGGGATTTGGACCTAAAAGAAAAAAAAAACAACAAAAATACATGTAACTATTAAATACAAAATTTAAGACTAAGATTTTGTTTGTTTTTTCTAATGAGATTTTAATTTTGTGTTTAATGTTTTATGATATAGTTTAATAAGTAATGGTCGGGTTAGAATTGCTAACTTGATTATAGAAGACACCTACCTTCGACCAAAATGTGGTGAGTTCAAATCCTCACTCTCATATATTACACTAAAAAAATTATTTGGTTGCAATTAGATTTAGATTCTCGTATCCCTTTGAACTGTATCTAAGAGATAGTGACGTATTGTGGTTTTATTTTAATATGAGTGATCAGCTAGGTTTAAATTGGCACACGTAGTCATAAACACTATATTAAGATTGGATTAATTACTGTACAATATTTTAAGTAATATAATATAATCAACCACTAATTAATATTTGCTAAAGTGAGCATAACTCAACGGTGATTGACATATATCTCAAATTAAAAGGTTGTGAGTTTGATCTCCCACCCCACATGTTATACTTAAAAAATACCATTAATTAATATTTTTCTATTTTTTGACAAACTATATAACAAGTTATCTCTCTCTCGAATACATATTTAATATTTATTGTTGTTTAAAGGTTTAAAAAAAAAACTGAACCTAATTCAGCAAGTTAAAACATCTATATCGGACTAAAAAATCGTTAGTTCGAATCTTCACTCACATGAGGTACTAAAAAATGTTTAAAAAAATAAATGATATACGTGCAGAATAAAATATTCTTGATGCACCATAATAATATATTACTTGTTATTTCCATTATATTATAGAAAATTTCTAATGGATTCACTCACATATATTTGCAAATATATTAACATGATTATGATCTTACAAATTATGAAACAATCTTTTTTTTTTTTAATTAAAGAAGTGTGACGCACCTATTTAAAACATTTTCACATAATTCTTCTTCTACTCTCATATATCACTAATAGTAGATTTTTATTGCTGATAGATTCATATATCACTAAAAGTATAGCATGAGAGATTGAACTTTCAACTTCATAAAAAATAATTAATATATTATTATTAAATTATACGTTATATCGACAACTATTAAATTATAGACATAAGATCAAGTTGAGTGCAATATGTGAGGTTGAACGTTCTAACTCACGACCTTTTAGTTTGAGATAAATGCATAAATCAGTTCAACTATACTTGGTTATAGACGTAAATCAAAGTTGCGGATCACGTTTCTCATTCCACCCATTATTTTGATCATTGGGATTGGTTAGAGACAGATAAAGAAAAATCAATCTAACTACTTCCCATCAAAATTCATCACAACAACGGCCTAAACAGCCCAAATCACAATTTGACAAAGATACCCCCATCATGAAAGCATATCCCAATATCGATTATGACAGAAAGGACATAAATTTATCTGCACCTTATTTCAAATATGATATTATCAGCTTCCCCTCACATAAATAATTCTGTCCAAGATATAAACACGAACATAGATTAATTGGTTAAGGCACATATTCTGATCTATCAAAAGTAGAAAGTTCAAATTCTCATCCTCCGTATTGTTGAACTAAAAAAATCATGAAATTTCTACATATCTTTTAATGAATCATAAAATGAGCGGACATATTTTAGTAAATTAAAAAAAACTAGTACTGCATCGTTGGTTTGAAGTTAATTTGGTAAAACCATACTAACGATTTCATTAAAGAATATCAACGATGTGGATGTGTTCTCAAATTTTCAAACGGAACACTTATAGATATTAATTTAATTTTCCACTAATGGTAGGATTTATCTAAAAACTTAAAAGATTAAATTTAGACATTTCATTAAGAAGAAATTAAAACAAAACATGGATGGAATTACAAAATTTAAAATATATACTTTCGAAAAAAAATCAGAAGTTCAAAACCGTATCTCCATTCATCATGGAACTTAAAATAAATTAATTAATTAATTAAAGCGTCGTTTTAGTCTAATTTCTTTAAGAACAATGCTTCTACAGTCCAATAATCAATCATCTTACTAACAAGTAACTTTACAACCACTAAAATTTAACTTAAAGAAAAAAAAACATAAAAAGAAATCAGATTTGACATCATACTGAAAGAAAAATGGATAAATAACTAACTAACTAAGATAGACAAAAGCCATAAAAAAAAGAGAATAAAATAAAAGACCTAAATATTATTATTATTATTATTATTTTAAACAAACCTGAATTATATTATTTATTCTGGAATGTCCACAGAAATATCCTTAAGAAACGCATCAATATTGGAATGAGAAGAGCCACCGTCGGCCACCGCTCGCCGGCAAATCTCTCGCCATTCCCTCACTCTCTCCCTCATCTCTCTCCCTTCCACGCTATCCGCCCCCATAAATCTCTTCACGATCTCTG